TTGGTTTTCAATTTCATCCACTTCTTTTATTGATTGGCCACTTGCAAAAGTAATGGAAGAATGATAGAGGGAAGATGAAGTCATCTTCCACCAAAAGTATTCATTGCTGGTCCATGTTTAGTCTCGTGTGAAATTAATTTCAGCTTTCAATTCCTTGGACAACTTGACATGAACTTTTGTCAAGATTCTACCAAACATGAACCATGTGGTCCTTTTTTTAAAAAATTGGTTGTGGGTGGTGGGGTAAATTTTGTGGTGAAAATTAATGATGGAAATTACTGCAGGATTACGGACTGAAAGTGATGCTGGACCGCAATGTGTATCTAGTAGATGTTGTAAGAGAAAAGATTGGTAGGGTTTTGAAGCTTGATTCAATTGTGGGAGGCAAGTTATGGAAGGAGATTGACATGCTCATCTTCAACACATGGCATTGGTGGAATCGCAGAGGACCCTCTCAGCCGTATGCCTAATAACTAAAATCTACAATTTTCTTATGGTTAATTAATTCTATAAATTAATTTTTCAGATGGGATTATGTTGAAGTAGGAGGCCGGGTCAGCAAAGACATTGACCGGATGGTTGCTTTTGAGAAGGCACTCATGACTTGGGGTGGATGGGTGGATTCAAACATTGATCCTGCAAAAACTAAAGTTTTCTTCCAAGGAATTTCTCCCTCTCATTACAAGTAAGTTCCTTATTTTAATAAACTTAAACTAAAATATTGAACATTGAATGTTAAATCTAATTCAAGTACTCGTGAATCGTTGTCAATCTTAAATACGTACATTAACGACTGATAACTGTCCACGTGCACGTGAATGAAGTCATGAAATCAAGAAAATAGTCTCTTACGACCTTCTTTTTGTGATTGTGATTTTAGTGGGAGCCAATGGGATGAGCCAAAGGCAAGAAGTTGTGTAGGGCAGAAGGAGCCTTTGCTTGGATCGACATATCCAGGAGGTTTGCCACCAGCTCTGAGTGTGCTGAAGAACGCCCTAAGCAAAATCACAAAGCCTGTGACATTGCTAGATGTAACAAACCTGTCGCTCCTGCGCAAAGATGGGCACCCTTCAATCTATGGGTTGGGAGGCACCACAGCAATGGATTGTAGTCATTGGTGCCTTTGTGGAGTCCCAGATACTTGGAACGAGATTCTTTACAATTTTATTCTTTGAAACGTTTTTCATTTAATTCATACCACCAAATTATAGAATTTGGCGACTTCTTAGAAAAAATAATAATTGATTTATAATGATATTCAGAGTTTTCTGTACTACTATTTTTTTTTCAAAGTTGGAATTGTGATATGCAAAATCCCGCTCCAGAAAAAATGTTTGTGACTCAACTGGTTTTATCACATTGGGTTGAAGTTACGTTTGGTGGCTCGGCTTGGATTGAAAATTTTCAATTAATTTGGGTGAACACTTGAGATGTTGTTTGGTGAACTTATAAATGATCGGAATAAAAGAGCCTAATTCTGATACAAGCTCAACCACCAAAGAGCCTAATAGAAGACCCAAATTCTACCAAAACAGTTTAGCAATTAAAATTGTGGATCCCCTAATCTACTAGTAATCTTTAAAAAAAAATTATTTTATTACATGGATAAGGCCCAAAACTAATAAAAAATTGATCTGGGCCTGGCAATACTAGCCCAATACATATAGTGGGGTCCACAAGAGTACACGAGCCCAAATCTTCTCGTAGCTAGCACATCCCGGCTACGCATATGCATGTGATCCACTCAGCAATAAAATCACCACAAATAAATAAGCATATGTGTGTATAATTTCGTTTGTGTTTATTAACACATATATAATTAGGGAGAGTAGTTGATATTATACTCATTTATTTTCTCTCGTATTTTTTTCTTTTCTCGATTCATAACTTCTTCGATTCAAAGTAAACATGTCATGGGATAGTTTCGTACTGTGACCACTGTCTCATCCTACTTTTTCTTCTGCTTGAGCTAGTGGTGACCAAAACAAAATATAATTGGTGGTACCACACTATAGTATTTTGTTCATACGTGGGAGCAGGAACAAATAAATTTATTGATACAAAAATAAAGTAGGGAAGGCTTTTCTTAGAAGGATGATAATACATAAAGTAAGCTTTACTTTACGCCATGACTAACTAGAAAGCGTCCACACAACAGCTACACCAGCTCTTATTATGCCGAACAAGGAAGAATTAATGTTGTCTTTGTCCCCAAGTGAACCCAAACCCACTAGCTGATCACTGGTCACTTACATTACATATAGCTAGTTACTTGGTCTTTCAATCTCCTCAACCAGCTCTTATTATGGGAAAATTGTTGGATGGCTTTGGGTTAGTTGCTTATACATTGCTATGCTAAAGTAGATATCAGCAGCAGCTGTGACTTGTTTCAAGGGACTTGGGTTTATGATGATTCTACCTATCCACTCTATGACACCTCCAGCTGCCCTTTTATTGAGAGCGAGTTTGACTGCCAGAAAAATGGACGGCCGGACAACCAATATCTCAAATATAGATGGCAGCCTGACGGTTGTGCATTGCCAAGGTAACATTAATCATATATTTTCAAACTTGTATAAATTACAATGCAAAGCTTCCATTTTTCGACGTGGAATGAGTCATGTTGCATGCTGCAGTGCCCCAAACCAACTATGCCCTAACAAGGAAAGCCGACATCTCTGCGTTTTCTTGGCCCGTGAGTTTTTCTGATAATCATTATAAATAATGCTACTTTTACTACATTTGTATATTACATTCCCATATCATCTTATTTGGCAGATGACGTGACATCCACATCAAATAAAATTAATTTAATATTTCTTATATTTTATGATTTATTGACACTTTTTAATTGTCTGTGAGTTAACACCAATTAAGTTATACTTTTTTAACAACATATATCTAATATGGTCATGTTATATATTTCAATTACTAATTATATATTAAGCACTAATTGGGCAATTATATATTGATCAATAGATAAATCACCCCCTTGGTGTTTTGCAGGATTATGATGTTTCTGTTTTGTTATCGCGCAATGCGTTTCTGGTGGATCTAAGGCTTGACTCCATTACAAATGGCAATGATTGGAAGGGATACGACATCTTTATAAGGAGGAGAACATGTTCATCTTGAAATTAACCTTAAATTATTAGGTGTAGGGCCCAGTGAATATATAATCTTATTATTAGTCACACTTTGGATTTTGTAGGATTATGATGTTTCAATTAGGTTATCTCGCAATGCATTTCTGGTGGACCTAGTGGATACAAAGGAAGGCAGGGTTCTAAAGCTGGACTCTATTGAAAACGGCAACACATGGAAAGGATACGACGTGCTTATCTTCAATACATGGCATTGGTGGCTCCACAAAGGAAGCAAACAACCGTACGTGAAACATAAACCACACAAAACACAATTATTTGCATTGCAATACGCAATTATATATTCCTTAAGAAATAAAAATTATTATTATAATACATAACATGGGTTTAGCTAAGTTGGCTAGAGCGAATGTGCTCCCCATTTTGCACCCGAATTCAAATCCTCCATTTTATAATTTAGATTGGTTTAAAGTAAACTATCACTTGTATAATATATAATTAGTAATTAGAAGCCTTAATTTGCATGCATTAATTAATTATGTTGTCTTATGAGAGTTTCAGATGGGACTACATAGATAAAGAAAGATAGCGATTCGAATTTGGGACCTCTATGCCATTTTTGGTAGATTAGTAGACCAAAAGCTATAATTGGCCCTCTAATCTAACTATATATTTATATAATCATCTCTGAAAACTAAAAACATATATTATTATTATTTGCCTATTTTATTAAATATGCATATATATTATTGGTGGAGCAGTGGAAAAGAATGGGACGATCCAAATTCAGCAACATGCAGTGGACAAACGCAACCTGTGACTGGTAGAACATACCCAGCAGGCTCACCACCAGCAGCAACTGTGGTCAACGAAGTGTTGACTGCCATGTCATCCCCAGTAACCTTGCTGGACATAACTCTATTGTCGCAGTTGAGAAAAGCTGGGCACCCTTCTATGTACGGCAATGGTGGAAGAACGGGAAACTATAGCACCTCTTGTGATGATTGCAGCCACTGGTGCCTTGCCGGTGTTCCTGATACCTGGAATCAACTTTTTTATGCAACTCTTGTGACCAGTGACTAAAAACGAATTATGATTTCAACTTTAGATTTTGTGGTGTATACTTGAAAATGACCTTTAATTCTATTCACACCCAATGTTTTTCTCATTTCACGCTCAAGAAATTATAGCACCTTTTTTTGTTCACTTATGATAGGATAGGAGCATGTATAATTACTTTAATTTTCGTTTCTTGGATTTTTGAAAGAAAAGCATAAAAGAAATTATAATTTGAACAATTTGCAAGAAGTACAATACAAACTTGGGTTTCATATTGCTGCCGACAATTGTTGCAAAGACTATTTACTTATTTCTTTATTTTTTCTTGCATATGACAAGGTTTGAAACTACTAGATAAAGAGGAACCAATTTCTCATACTTGAGCTAATGATGATCGACCAAAAACTATTTATTACTTGCTACCATATTATTTTTTTTGCATTCTAGTTAATTTTGAAAGCTGAAAAATAAGAGTTATTCGAGAAACAGTAATGCTAGACACATTGGATTGACTACATTATGTTATGTACAGTACAGTTTATGTATACATGACACCACATGTGATTTAAGTTTTTTTAATATTTATTTTAAATCAAAGAATAAGGGAACCTAATTAGCTCGTATCCGGCCCTATTAATTGAATTCAATTAAAATAATAAAACTTAAATTATATGTGATCATATTAATTGAGATTCCCACATCAGCCGCCACACATAATGTTGTCAATTTAGTGTGTTCTAGGATGCATGATAATAAATATAAAATGGTAGGAAAATGAGATGGTGAGAAATTCAACTTTGCGCGTGACCATGACTAGAAAACGTCCAAACAACAGCTATACCAATATAAAAGGACAAGAGAATTGGAAAAAGGTGTCTTTGTTGTCTCTCCAAGTGAAGCCAATGAAGCAATTAAAACAAACGCCCCACCTTACAAACTCAAACGTCCACCATGTGCACAGCTATCTATAGAGTTTTCTGGGTCTTTCACTCTCCACAAATTTCTCAATTTCTCTGTCAATAAATTATGGGGAAAATGTTGCATGGCTTTGGCTTAGTTGCTTATGCTCTTCTTCTAGTTCTATGCCTTCATGAAGACCAATTACATTGCTATGCAAAACTACTTGCGACCAGCTGTGACTTGTTTCATGGGAGTTGGGTTCTTGATAAAAGCTATCCACTCTACGACACCTCCAGCTGCCCTTTCATTGAGAAAGAGTTTGACTGCCAAAACAATGGACGGACAGACGATCGGTATCTCAAATATAGATGGAAGCCTGACGCTTGTGCATTGCCAAGGTAATAATTCATGTGACTTTTTCTCTCTCTAGCTACTTTTCTTCTCATATAGTGGCAAAGTTTGCCTGCTTTGTTGGAAAAACATGCTTATATATCCATGTCCGAGATTTAAATCATCTAGTTGAAGACTGAAATGAAATGATTTCTGAAACGTTGTTCATTAATTATATGCCTCT